TCCAAGGTACACAGAAGTTGTGAATGAGATGATAAGTTATTCCAGTGGTCTTCCCTTGGCCCTTGAAATATTAAGCCGTGATTTGTATGGTAAGAATGTAAATGAGTGGAAATCTATGTTGGATGGATGTAAAAGAATCCCTCATGGTAAGATTCAACAAATATTAGAAGTAAGCTATGAAGGCTTACAACAACATGAAAAAGAAGTTTTTCTTGATATTGCTTGCTTCTACAATGGTAGTGAATTGGAATATGTCAAAAAGATGGTGGGAATTGCTCATGATGTTGACCCAGATTATCATATTGGAGTGTTGGTAGACAAATGCCTTGTAAAGGTTTATGGGGCCGTCTTATTGAAATGCACGATCTAGTACAAGATATGGGCAGAGAATCGTTCGTCTACAATCACCAAAAGATCCAGGAAAACGCAGTAGGCTATGGTCAAATAAAGATATCTTGCGTGTTTTGGAGAGAAATGAGGTAAGTCTGGCACTAATTGAAATTATCTACTTCTTTTCTTATTATAATTAATGAGATTTTTATTTATTTGTTTTTAATGCGGAAAGATAATACTTAGAATTCAAAACAAGACCAGGCCATATGCATGGAATTTCAATAAGAATAACTCAAAGCTTGACATGATCGATTTCTAAAGTTATTTTGTTGTGCTCATTATGTCGTGGTTTTAATTTTGAATGAGGATTTATCGATGGTTTTATGGTATTTAATATTCTCAATATTTGTGTTACAAGGATAAGAAATTATAGGGATTTGTGTTATATATTTACATGCTATCAACTATGCGAAGAAACCTACCCTTACTGAAATTACCATGAAAACTTATTCCTAAAATATTCTCTTAAAATATGACAATTGGTCTAAATAAGAGAAACCAAAAAAATAAATAAAAATTAAAATGACATAGAGCTAATAATTATGCATGAGTTTTTGTTATAGAATTCGTTTTCTGGTTCTGTAATATTGCATCATTTTCATTATGACTACTTTTCTATGATGATAGAAAATTTTCGTTTTTATTTATGGCTTATAAGGGTGAAAATCAGTCGAAGTGAGGATCATAATATAGGACAGTCTATTAGAATCTATGAAGTAAAACTTATATATTTATGATATTTTTGTCCAGTCAAATTGAAAACAATTATTTTATTAATTTTGTAATCAAAACTATCAAGGTATTTAAAATTTTCAAAACTACTTGCTTTAATTTAATTGGATAAACTAAATAAGGTGAACTACCTAAGTTTTTTCCCAAAATAAATTGTGACAGAGAAGCTTAACTTTGGTAATTTAATTTTTGAGAAAGCCCCCAAATATCTTTTAACAATTTTTAAGTGTGAAATGATTTGGATATCCTCTATCTTCTCGGTCTTGGCATTTGTTCATAGCTGCTTGTTAGTGGCGCAATAGGGTGGTTGCCCCATGCATCAATTTTATGATTGATATATATGCGAAAAGAATATTATTTTTTACATATAAAAAAGAATTGAGAATTATTGCATGGCTCAATCATCAATTTGCATTGTTTGCTATCTGGTTTGTCGTTTTGATTTCGATTTCGATTTTTTTTTCCCCATCATATAACTATAGCATGGAAACCCTTAACATTTCTGGAGCTTCGAATATGTAATTTTTTTTTTCTATGTACTATTATACATATATGAACTGCTAATGTTTTGTTATTTTCTTTTCTTTTTGGTTTAAAAGGGCACAGATGAAGTTATTATCATAATTCAAGTTGAAAGGTCTAAATGCATAGAAGTAGAATGGAATGGACAAGCCTTCAAGAGTATGAAAAATCTCAAAATTCTTATTCTTGAGAATACAAAATTTTCACAAGGTCCCAAATATCTCCACAATAGTTTAGCAGTATTGAGATGGAGAGGATATCCTTCATCAAGTTTGCCACGTGGTTTTCGTCCAAAGGATCTTGTTGAATTCAATGTGAGAGATAGTTGTTTCAATTCAACGGAAATCAGTAAGGCAAGTGAAGCACCCCTAATATTATGTGTATTTATTTGGTTGGCTAGCTTGTATTTCATCATTTGTTTAATTAGACTTTATGTATGGTTTTGGTTATCGCAGATAACGCAGAATATGAAAATGAGTGTTTTGAACTTTGAAGGGTGCGAGTATATAATTCACATACCTGATTTATCAGGCCTCTCAAGTTTAAAGGAGTTACGGCTTGGTAATTGCAAAAATTTGATTGAAATTGATAATTCGGTTGGGCAATTAGCAAAACTTAAAACTTTGAATGTACGTAACTGTGCCCAGCTTATGACTTTTCCAAGTGAATTGAATACACCTCTCTTTATAATCTGCATCTAGAGATGTGCTCAAGTTTGAATTACTTTCCAGAAATAGCAACTCGTGAAATGAAAATAGAAGAGTTGAGATTGGTTGGAACTGGTATAAATCAATTGCCTCCATCAGTTGAAAATCTTACTCAACTTCTAACGATAACACATTCTGCGGGCAAGGGAATTAGGTCAATGAAGCTACCAAGTAGCACTTTTTTGTTGCCAGAACTTGAGAAGATAGATGTTGAAGGATGCGAAGAGTTGCTTATGGAAGTGGAGTCAATGATATGTCCAAACATAGGGGATCTTCAACTACAAAGATGTAATATATCCAATGAGAGCCTTCATATTTATCTTACTTCATTCCCCAATCTTAGGTTTTTGGACTTGAGCGGCAGCGATTTTACAATTTTGCCCGCATGCATAGAACATTGTCAAAATTTGGAAATAATTAAGCTAGATGAATGCAAGCATCTAATAGAAGTGGAAAAGGTTCCGCCTAGCATGCGACATTTGACGGCAGAAGATTGTGTATCAATGAGTTCAGAGTCCAAAAAGTTATTATTGAGTAAGGTCAATTTCTGTCTCCACTTTTCTGATATTCACACCCAAAAAGTTCTATATATATATATATATTTATTTATATGACTTCATTTCTTTTGACTCACAGGAATTACTTGTATCTGTAGGCCATCAACATTCAACTTGGTTTTTGGCACTACAGATTTAGAGGATATTTTTGTGTGCCAGGGGGAGGCATCCCAGAATGGTTCGATCACTGTAACAAAGGACGGTCCATTTCTTTTTGGTTTCGTGACCACCACCCCCCATCTCTCTGTGTTTGTGCTATTGCTCAACAAATAGGTTATAAAATGGCATATCAATCGGCATATCAATCGATCCAAACACAAGTGTTCATAAATGATGAAATGGCATGTAGATGGCCTGCAGCTACCGACTGCGGGATATGATGTGGATCATATAATTATGCATTATATATGGAATTTCGAAATGGGTGGAGAAATTAAAGAAAATCAATGGAATCATGTAAGATTTGTCCACTTTAGAGCTTGGAGATGCCGCAAAAGAGAGAGGAATTTATGTACTCAGAGATGAATGGACCAATATGAAAAATATCCGATTCACTGATCCTTTCCAAAGTTTGGATTTTTTGAGGAGTGACCGAGGTAAAGTGTATCACCATTCTTTTTTAATTGATGCAATTTAATCAGATGCATGCAAATTCTGAAAATTTCAATAGAATCATTACGCACACATGTATGAATATATATGAATGAACGAATATTCTTTGTGCGCGTGTTAGTTCCTTTAACATTTCTCTTTTTTAATAATAATAATAATAGTAAATATCTTTTCTCTTTTCACTTGTAGATGATATAGCAAGTTCATGATTTTTGGATTTGTTTAACATCATCAAGCTAAGCCATATAGCATTTCACTTGTAGCTAATGAACTATGTTTCAATTTGTTACTACCGTGTTTTTATGTTCAGATTTTAATTGGGATTTAGATGCCAAGAAAAAAAAGGCAAAGAAAACTGTCTGATAAAGGAGCATGAAAACAATGTAAACTCAAACACATTCTCCCAATGTTAATCATCTTCATGACTCTATCATCCATGCATGCGTATATGTGTGAGTAGCATCAATAGTGTATAAGATTTTAGGGATTGTTGTGTTGTTGTTGTTGTTATTATTATAACTTAGGCATGAGGTAGATGAAATAAAATTAACAATATAATGCTTGCAAAGTGTTCTACTACTTACTAAGGTACTTTGCATTAACTAATGGCTACTTTAATATTATATTGCAGGATGTGCTATAGAAGGTGACACTGCTACAAATAACCCTTTCTTCCCTTCCCAAAGTGAGCAGCAACATACACACTCACATGCTGTTAGGGACATTGACTCGTTAAGACTACTATCTGTAAAGTGTAGGAGAACTATCTTTAGTTTCATAATTCATATGGGTAGGGGGATGGTGGGTTCTCAATTAGAATATGATTTCTGTATTACTGAGCAAGATGTCATGAAATTCCTAAGCATGCAAGAGCTGTGCATAACCATTATGCAACTCTTTGTGAGGTATGTAACTTTGTTCTCATTTCTAGACCTAACATATGCATGCATTTAGCTCTCTCAGACAACTCACATATTGGCATGCAATTTGATAGGTTTTGCTACGAACTTTGCTCCTTTAGAAGAATTGTTGATAGATTTGGATTTTTGTGTCCAAATGCTATTCAAGGTGTAGGGCATACACGAGAAGATAAGATATCTTACATAGGAAGTACTATCAAGGAAGGCAATAAGCAATGTTGGCTTGTACCAATTCGTGAAGGGTAAGAAGTTTTTCACCATTAATATGTAAATAATCAATTACAACAAACTTTCATGCAAACAATATGATATTCTAATCATTAACTGATATATTATAGGAACCATTGGACGTTATGTGCTATTTGCCCAGGATCGAATATCATTCATTGGTTTGATTCACTCGTAGGCAAACAAAGCGATGATATTGAGAAAGTATTCACGGAGTAAGTATCTGTTTTTGTAAAACTTTGGTTTGCAACATTATAAATCAATGATCTAATTTATGTAATATTTAATAATAGAGCCCTTGTGACGTACCAAATCATTGGAGGAAAGAGCATAAAATGGCTATACCCAAATGTAAGTAGCTAGTTTGAACCTTAATGCAGATAGTTTAAATGGTTATGTCATTCCTATGTTTTTTAAGTTCCAGCTACTCTTATTTTTTGATTTGTAGTATCGTCGTCAACTTGAAGATAAAGAAGGTGGATATTACATCATGAGATATATGTATGACATCATTGATCTTAACGAAGTTGACTCATTAGACATGGTAATTATATATTCCCCAAAACCTAGTCCTCTTATGGTAACTGATGTTTATGAGCCATTAATGTTATGATGCGTTTTCAAACTTGTAGCATTTCAATAATCCACAATGTTACTCCCAAGAAGACATCAGCTTTATTCGTAACAGGTGGTCAGCCTATTTTTTGGCGACTCAGTGGTGGTTCACGACGTTAAAGGAGATGAGAGTTGTGGAGAAGGTATTATTTGGACGTACTTGATTAGAAGACATTAATTAGTAAATAATGCATACTAGAGTGGGTGACATTTGCATTTTAAAACGTGACTATGTATGAGAGTTGGTTTTAAATGATAGTTTATACTACCTCTGGTCCTAATTATAAAGCCTTATTTGTAGACTATAAATAAGGTTTTGTGATTAGGATCAGAGGTAGTATATCTCTGGCCAAAATAAATAAATAAATGATAGTTTATATATCATTGATGTTGTAATAGTGTGAGATATGGCTTGAGCTCAAAGACATTTCATATGAAAAAAAAATTTGTGTGGAAATGTTTGTTTTGAAGTTAATATTCTTTGTTGTAATTGCACAAGATATGGTCTTTTGTTTTGGGGAAATCATTTAGTTTGCAAAAGGACAAATCCCCTATTATATTTCCTAATTCCTAATATCTCCATATTTGTATATGGTCAGGAAGGGATGTTGTCTATTTCGTTACTTTTCTCAATTTGAGTTCTATGTTTCTATTTTAAAGAAAATTTATATACTTCGCTTTATATACTTAATGTGCCATTGTCAATTAAATACAAGACATGAGAATTTTGCATATATCACTTATTCTAAAACAATCTCTTATTATTAGTATCATTAATGTTTTAATGTGGAAGTCTTTTTCTTTTATTGTTTTGGTTGTTCATATCATCAGGTTTACTGTCTTTTGTGTCCAAACATTTTGCCTTCTTTTTGTAGATATATTTGTCGTATTTGTTACTCTTTTTTGTTTCATTCAATCTCTGCATTATATTATTTTTTCTTTTATTGTCATCTTATGCTGTTAATAGTATTTTCTACAAAGGAAAATGCAATTCTTTTTTCATTTACTTATAATTAAAATATTCTTACTGTTTTAATTATTTTAATGTGTTCAAACCATAATTTAAATATTTCTGTTAATTAATATTGATATTTTCTTCTTTAACAAAAGTCAAATGATATTTAATATTACCTCATATTCTAAATAAACAAATTCACTTTATCGTGTAATCTATTTTAATTTATAGGGTTAATATAAATTTTGGTCTCTCAAATTTGGACCCAATTTGGTATTGGTCCCTGAAATTTAAAATATATAGTATTGGTTTCTCAAATTATGTCCGTTTCAAATTATTGGTCCCTGACATCTTGATATCGTTAAATTCTACTAACATGCTATTAATACTGTTAACCAATGAGTTTGACATATATAAGTGGCATATGATATGGACATGAACTAATGAGTTGGCATATGATATGGACATGAACTAATGAGTTGGCATGTAGGTGGTATATGACTTAAAAAAAAAAACAACCAGATGCAAAACGCAGGTGGAACGACAGACATGACGACAGACACATGGACGCTGGGGGGGTGGGAAGGGGAAAAGGGTTAGGTCAAAAGGACCCACTTGTTGCCGGAAACGATCTCCGAATTACTCAAGTTTTCTGTCATTATTCGAGCTGATCGCATTGTTCGAAATTTTATTTTATTTTTTAAATATGGTGCTCTGATATCACTAGGGAGGCTGAGGTGCCAAAAATAAGTCTCCTTTAACAGCACACATGCTGGAAAGTGAAATGTGTCTTTAGGGAGGAGGAAAAAAAGAGGGGGCGTGGCAGCCAGACCAGAGCTATCAAAATGCAGCATTTGGAAAAGCAGCAGCAAAATCTCTATATAGATTCGTATTTGGAAATGAGTGACTGGTTAAAGTAGATTCGTATTTGCGCTGATTGAGAATATTTGAGCATCTTCCAAGACCTCATGCTTGAAACTGTAAACTTAAAAATAGAAACTTCTTTATGCTTATGCTATATAAAAATCCCTTCACGTGGCATTGCTTAAGCGACATGCAAATCCTCCTCGACGTCATATATTCTCGTGTTGAGTGTTGAAAAAGTTTGTACATTTTATTTTCGCAGTAGTGATGTTACAGTGAAGAATAATTAAATACTACCTCCAGTACTTAATACTACTTCCGTTCTTAATTATAAGAGTTAGTTGATTAATTTAAGGAGATTAAGGAAAGAAGTTAAGTTATTTATTTATCATAAATAAGTTTTGTCTTTCTCAAAATGTCCTTACTAATCAAGTGTATTAACTAGAACTATTATTGTTAGAAGGACTATCTTAGAAAAAATGCATAAATATTAAAAACAAAGTGGATTGTGGTCTTATATTTAGGATCAAAATAAAAATCAAATGAGGTCCTATATTAAAGATCGGAGGTAGTATAAGACTTTGTTTGATTTTTATTTTTATCCTAATTATAAGATTTCAATCCACTTTATCTCTTATATTTATGTATTCTTTCTTAAGATAATCCTTCTAATAATGATAGTTTTAGCTAATAAACTTGATTAACAAAGATATTTTAGAAAAGACAACACTTATTTATTACAAATAACTAACTTAACTTATTTTCTTAATATCCTCAAATTAATCAACTAACTCTTATAATTAGAACGGGAGGTAGTAGTATGTTGTTTCGTGCTTTAAAATCCAATAGAGTAACTTCACTGAGTTTTGAAGGCCTGACCGTTAGTGTCGTCAATAAAATTTGCGCTACGAGTTCCTTAGATGATAACCAGGCACATTACTTGGATTTCAATCTGCGCATTTATATTGCATAACAAATTAAAAGTGAATAAGGGAAGAAAATGCATGGGATCATGTATATATAAATTTTACTCCTTTTTCATATTTACATGGTAAATTAATCTTCTTTTGATGGTCGGGATAAATGAATAGATCCGTGTATGAAAATTGAATCCAGCCCACCACTGTGCTCTGTTTTGTTCTTCACGAACAGAGCAACCAACAAACCTGGAAAAGAGATGTAAATGGAAAAGCCCGGTAAATTCCTAGCTTCACGTTTTTACGGTGATATCAGGAGACGCTAGAAGGCCATAATTGCATTCGGTATTTATGAATAGAAGTTATTTTGTCAGAATCACGAGGGCTTCAACTTTGTTCGGGTTATGTTTGGCAAGCATAGCTTCCCCCCCCCCCCCACATATCTGTCGTCCCCTGCGTTTTGCGTCTGGTTGTACTTTTCCGCTCCTTAATATATGACCAATTTTTAAGTTGGTTTTAATCCTAAATATAAGATTCATTTCTCATATTTAACAATTTTCTTTAAATTACCTTTATGGATACTCCCTCAATCATAATCAAGTAGAAGAGGGAGAGGGGTATTAAGAAAGATGATTATAATGTTTTAGGAAAAATGTGTCACTTTTCTTATAATTAACAAATTTACCTAACTTCTTTAATCCAATCAAATTAGTTAAATGAGTCTTATATTAAGAATCAGAGGAGTATTTTTTTTTTTGATCCATGCCCATGTCATATGCTACCTATATGCTAACTCATCAGTTTATGTCTAGGTAATATGCCGCCTGTATGTCCAACTCATAAGTTAATAGTGTTAATGTTATGTCAGCAGAATTTAACGATGCCAAGATGCCAGGGATCAACGGTTTGAAATGGATATAATTTGAGGGACCAATACCACACGTTTTAAATTTTAAGAACCAATACCAAATTAGGCCTAAATTTGAGAGACCAAAATTTGTGTTAACCCTAATTTATATTACAAAGTAAATTTTATATTTTAGACCAGAGGTATATTAAATAATATATTTGTCTTGTGTTTGCGTGGGAGAATTAGTTTCCAGTTTTACATAAGTGACTTAATTACTATAAAGTTCCATGAGTTGTCAATATTGATTTACCGGCTTTTTTAAAAAAATTTCGAATTTTAATCCTAGTCTTTTTCAAATTATCAACACATAATAACATATATAAATAGATGTCAACACATTTTTGTTAAATTAATGGGTATATGGTTTCACTTCTTGTAATTTTTAAATTTTTGAAAAATTATAGTACCAATCTAACATATAAGAGCTCATTGAAGTTCAATTTAATTTTAAATATAAGACTATAATTTATTTTATCTCTCATTTTTTTTTCAAAGTAATTCCCATAGTGATTACACATGTTAAAAGGTTTTCATTCTAATTCTAATACATATCATCAATAAATGTATTTTAATAAAGACAACACTAATTTATGAAAAATAACTAATTTAACTAATTTTTTTAATAATCATAAATTAGTTGTTTAACTCTTATATTAATTAGGATCGGCACATTATATAGCTAGGTATAATTTATTACTATTGATAGCTCTCATATTATAAAATTATTGTGTATTTTAAGAAAGACAACACTAATTTATAATAAATAAACTTAATTAATTTTTTTAATAATTAGTTATCTAACTTCTATATTAATTAAAATCAACGCACTGTATATGTATAACTAGGTATAATCTATTACTATTGATAGCCCTCATATTATAAAATTATTTATGATGTGTGTTAAAATGAAAGGAAATTCTTAGATAGTCCAGAGTACCACGTCATGTAAACCCTGGGGAATGAAATTTCTCCATGGCATACATTCTCTTTCCACCTCAGGGCACGTTTAGTGGACGGAAAATGCAACTATGCAAGGCAGAAGCGATTCGCAGAAGCCTACTCTTTGCCGGCAGAAATTCGTCCTCATCAACATATTCTCTCGCCAGTCCATCCACGACCGATGGCACGGCACCATGTTCATCTGCAGGTTCTGACTTTGCACCTTCAAGAAGCCCTTCTTGCACGCATCTTCAACCTTGAGACCCACCTCGATTTCCCTCGGCGGCTCGGCCACTAGTGGACCTGAGTATGACAGGAAGATCGATTTCTTGCCTCGATCAGTCACCGGCTAGAGCCCTAGCTCTCTTAAATAAATTCGCCTTAGACATTGCTCTGATCTGTCACTCACTCTTGTCGGTGAAAGGTAAAATCCTGATAGCAAATTTCAACGTCTATCTGTTTCATACGAGTTGCGAAATTTGAAATTGAAGAAGCAAAATCGGTTCAACAGTAACATCTAAATCGGTTTTGCTTTGCCTACTTGAATTTGGTTTCTAACATTCCTTCTTTGGATTGTTCTGAGCGAGATCCCAATTATTAAACGTTGAAATAATAT